TAGTAGTAGTAGAAATAGTAGTAGTAGAAATAGTAGTAGTAGTAGTAGTAGTAGTAGAACTAGTCGCAGCAGGAGTAGTAGTAGTCGTCGTCGTCGTCGTAGTCGTCGTCGTAGTCGTCGTCGTAGTAGTCGTCGTAGTAGTCGTAGTAGTCGTAGTAGTCGTAGTAGTCGTAGTAGTCGTAGTGGTAGTGGTAGTGGTAGTGGTCGTGGTCGTGGTCGTGGTGGTGGTCGTAGTGGCGGTAGTGGTGGTGGTGGTGGTAGTGGTAGCAGCAGCAGCAGCAATAGCAGCAGCAATAGCATTAACAGTACTAGCCAGAGAAATACTAATCGGGAAGGCAGTTCCCCAGTCATTGGTGAAGGCATCCCTGCGTGCTCTTGGCGAGCTCTGGCGGCGCTCGCCTGTGGACCTTCCGGAAGAGGCAGACTCCAGCACGTCCAACGCCTATCTACGAAGAGCTGTGAACCGCCGTCAAGCCAATTGCAATTGATCAGGCCCGCCGAGGCCTCTACGACCTTGCGGCTCCTGTGAAGGGCTTCGATGTCTTCCTGTCCCACACCTGGATGAGCCCCGGGAGGCCGCGTGCCCATGGAATGGGGTTCCTCTGTTAGTGTATGCATTGGTGTTCATGAGTGAAGGAGTCCTTGAGGCGCCTGCTCGAGCCAGGTACAAAGTCCTCAGCCTGCTTTTCCAAGCAGGTTGGAAGCAGGCATTCTTTGTCCAAAGCCTCTTCGTGGTGGCTGGAATTATTCTATCTCTGGTGCGCTGGCTCCCATTGCCATTTACCATCCCGCCCGAGTTTGCTGAGTATTCGCACCTCATTTGCCCATTCTTCCCCTGGTGCCTCGTCTTGGGTTTCGTGGGAAGCTTTATCGGGCTCGTGCTGACGCCCTATCTTCCGGCCCTTTGCGGCCAGCATCCTGTTTGCTTCCTGGACGTGGTCAGCATCCACCAAGCAGACCAGGAGTTGATGGAGCGAGGAATCTACGGCTTAGGAGGATTTTTGCGCGTTTCCAAAGAGCTCCGGGTTCTTTGGTCCGCACCCTACCTCTCCAGGCTGGGGACATTAGTATAGGGGTCGGCCGCCTTATTGTCATTGTAATATTCTACTACATGTTACCCCAAACCCTAGACATGGTCGAGGCTGTGGTGCGTGTTCGAATTGGCGGCCTACCGGATGGCAAATCCCAGCGGGCGCATCGTCGTGTCCCCGATTTTTGTGGAGGTGGGTGCCCTCGTAACAATCCTCTTCACATACTTTGTGGCTGCCCTGTTTTCACTTGTCTTTGTGCTCAATTGGCAAGAAGTCGGGCAAGTCATGACCTATGTCGTTGCGCATCTTGTCCCTGGAATAGAGGTGTTTCAATGCAGTGGCACTAGTAGTTACTTAGTAGTCGCTAGCAAGCGGATGAGCAGTGGTGGATGATTCCATTCGGGATCGTTGTCGTCAAGGAATCGCAGCAGCATCCCAAGCGTTTCCTCGTCCTTGGACTGAGGCTTGTTCCACTCCTGCTGTTCTTGCACCTCATGCGTCGGAACCTTATGTCGAAGCACAGGTTATTGTCAGAGCTGCGCTTGTTCGACCTCGAGAAGGCATATTGTCGTACGGACTTTGATCGAGAATTTATCCACAGAGCCATTATCGAGTGGTACGGGAGCAAGGAGGCCTTTACACAATACGTGCGCGGGCCGCTGCGAGAAGAGCTGATGCGCTGCAACAGATCCGCTTTCCCCTTACCATACCTTCTCATGGTGAGTGCTGTACCTTTCATTGCCTCGCTGGACAGCCTGGTGTCGGTGTCGCTCGGTGGCATGAAATAGCAGCTGGTATTGGCCGAATGTGTAGGAAACAGCATTGGCTTTCATCTGGGCTTTTTCTTGTCGCTGTTGAACTTTGTTGTTTATCTTTGTGACCGGTTTGCGGCTCCAATATGCAGCGGCATGCTCCTTGACTATTTGCAAACGTTCATGCTTTTCGTCGTGTTCTTCAGCCTGTACTACCTTGGACAAGTCGTGAATCGCCTGGCATATACGACGAGCCTGTTGTGGGCGGTGGTCTGGGCCAGCGCTGCATTGCTGTCCGCTTGCCTCTCTCTTGGCCTCTTCGGACAGCGAAGTGGCAAGACTGCTGCAACCGCTGACCGTGCGGAGTCTTGAATGTAATGTTCCTTTTCGCTGGTTGTTCCTCGCTTGTTGCTGCTTCTCCGCCGCAGGGATGCATCCATAGAGCATAGAGCCAGGGAGGAAGGCATGAAATAGAAAAGTAGGTTTCAATTTCAGTCGTGGCCACAATGCTTGAGTTCCAAAGACTGGAATTCACGCCCAACGGAACATCCGCTTCCCGGATCTTCGCGAGATGGAAAGGGCTCTTTCAAGAAAAAGGCTGAACTTCTGGCAACGGTAATTTCCAAGGGCACACGCTCGACCGGTTGGGAAAGCCTGTTGCATGATGAGTGGGTGATGTAGTATTCCTTATTTTGCAATCAAGAGTGCCACAATGATCAACGCCGGAGATGTACTCTTTCCAGGTCTACGCCCTTGTATGTAAAGCACGGTTACACGGAGGGAAGAACAGCTACGAAATCAAACCTTTTTTTGAATGCTGAACATGAGGACTCGACTTTATAGACTGTCCGTTGCAATAAATTATATTTTAACTTGTTCCGTCATATACCGTACGGTTTTCTTAGGAGAAATTCAACTCCAAGACGAATACTATGATCATTCAGAATATTTACGTACACTCCTTGACTTCGGACTTGCTAGATGAGAGATTATTTTGGTTCGTTGACTATATATATTTGTTATATTCTGAATATGATATGAAGAGAAATTCAAGAATATTTTAAGAAGATGAAAATTATTTAGATGAATAAAAATTCAAGAATTGTGATGTCTATATTAGAAACAAATATTAATATCTTAAAGAATTTTATAGATTTTTTATAATTTCATAGAAAAGAACTAGTCTTGATTTGTAAGAGTAAGATATAATTCTATAATATATATTAGTGTAATGAAATTGATTATTTTATTATAGATATATAGAGATTCTTTATATATTATTCCGAAAAGATATATTAGAGTTGTTCTAATGTTCCGGCGTTTTATTATAGACTAATAGCGCACTTTAATATTTGGATTTATATTTGGGACCTACTATAATTAGTATTAACACGAGTCTTAATATTATTATTGGTATTATTACTTGTATTAAATACAGATCCGAAAATAATTAAAATTAATTTTTATATAGGATTTAGACACAAGATACGTATAAGAACAGCTCAAGGGGAACTCTCTAACTTCGATTAAAGGCCCATTCTTCTTGCGTGACAATTACTTGCAAAGCCGCCCAAATTCCTTGCACGAAATCTTCAAACCGGATTCTGGACTTGTTATTTTCCGGCTGATCTATTAAGGCTACGAGGTGGGAGTATCTTTAAAACCTTGTACGCGTAATAGTGCACAAGGCGATTTCCGAGTTACGGACTGTAATCATAATTCAAAATATCTTCCAAAAAGATAGAGAATATTATCTAATATTTTATTACTTGATGATATGTGATTAGAATGAATCTTATAATCTTATTCCATTAGAATTTTTCATGAAGATTAGATATATTAGATATATAAGATTTTCGAATTCTATAATGAATATATGGAATTCAGGAAGCTAATCTTATTGTTATTATTTCAATTATTGAAAAATTTTTTTTATCATGAATTTATCATAATATGGATTTGGATTCATAATTTTTTCTCAAGTAGAAAAAATAATCAAAAAAATTGTCTATTATGATATTATATGAATATTTGATTATATTTTCGATATTAGTAGAAATTATAAAAATATATGATAAGAAATTATCGCGATGAAATATTA